GAAATTCTATATCATTATTGTAAAAGGAAAACTAATTTGACTTGCAACAAATAGAATATGGGTCTATGATCCCTTATCTTAAATCCTACCATGTATTTCAGAATTCAGAGTTTTTTAAATTTGAAAAATGTAACATATATGTCTCATACTACATGACACTCCTGTTAGTGTCTGAGGTAGAATCCCCTTTAATCAAATACATTAATGCTTTTCTCCAGTGAAATGTCTGATTATTCCTACTAAGTGAAATTTAAGACTATACATAGCCTGTGTGAGTTCAGGTCAGATTTTACTGACACGTGAGTTCAGGCAAGGTCAGCTTTTGCATCTTTTGGTACAGCATCTCATCACTTTTAAAAATAAAAAGTTACAAAAATTTTTTGTTTTCAGGGCTTTTGGGGTTTCAGAATTGTAGGACAGTCAAAGTGAGAAAAGTCAATAATAAATTCCATCTAGATACTGTTTCTTGCAGAATCTCTGAACCTGAGGCCTGCTTGTCGATTGTTATAAATGTGGCTACTATGAGATTGGTGAGGATTAGAGAGATGTTAAGGAAACATTAGTTCTAAATGGAGACTTTCCTTCTTAATTTAACCCTTATACCATTAGGTGGACCTAATTTGTTTTTTTGCATTTTCTTTTTTTTTTTTTTTACAGTTCTGTTTGTAAAGATTGATTTTTTTTTAAACTATTAATCATTCTTAGCAGTCTTTCAGCGAATAAAGAGAAAAATTACTTAGAAAACTCAAAATATATTCTCTTGCAGTTACCCATGTAGGGCCATTGAGCCCTTTTGAAATCTAAGGTATATTATAGATTGTAGTGATTTTACATATTCACTGTCTTGAGACAATTTGCTATTTGATCATCTTAGGAATTATTTCATCAATACTCTTCAGTTATTCCCAATTGTGGTAAAAAGACTAATAACATAAATGAATGATGAAATTATGTAGTATTGCATGATTTTTCAAGAAAAGGTGTGTAGGAAGTCTGAACATACATTTTTGCAGGCTCTCCCTTTTTTTAAAGCTTTCATTGAATAATTGATAATTGAGATTTTTACAGTTTTCTGCTTACAAGGATAAAGGGAAGAAATTGCCAATATGTTAAAATAATGATTTAGACACACTGGAGATGAATGCAAAGAGAGAGAGTGCAGCATTCCAGATCTGCTCTGTTCAATGCAAACATAACATAACCCACCTGGGTAGCTGCGTTTTCTAGCAGTTACATTAATAACATACAGCTGTAAGTAATTTTAATAATTTATCTCAGTATTTAAAATAGTATCAGTTTAGCCGGGCTCGGTGGCTCAGCCTGTAATCCCGTGCCTTTAGGAGGCTGAGGTGAGTGGATTGCCTGAGCCCGCGGGTTTGAGACTTGCCTGGGCAACTTGGCGAGACCTCATCTCTACAATAAATCAAAAATTAGCCGGACATGGTAGCGCGCGCCTGTAATTCCGGCTACTGGGAAGACTGAGGTGGAAGGATCACCGGAGCTCAGCAGGTCGAGGCTGCGGTGGCTGGGAGCAGGTGACAGAGTAAGACTCCAACCCCCCCCCCAAAAAGTATCATTTTTATCACGTAGTCAATATAAAATTACTAATGAGATATTTTATGTTCCTTTTTTCATACTGTCTTTGAAATCTGGTGTGTATTTCTCACTTCACAGCACATATCAGTTCAGACCTGCCACATTTCAAGTAGTCAGTAGCTACATGTGGCTGGCAGTTACTGTATTGGACTGCACAGCTCTAGACTTAATGATAGTGAAATTGATTATATAAGAGGAACTCCATACTATGAATCTTCAGGTGATAATATGCTAGATATATTTTCTCCTCAAGAATTGATGATAGAACAATATCTTTTTAAGGAGAAAAGGAAATATATGTGATATGCCCATCTAGTAATTCAATAGGAAGGGTTTTATTCCATATTATTTTATAATAAGAACTTGAATCATCTTATTTTACTAAGAATACACATGACAGTGGCCTTCATCTTCTATGAAAATTTAACATATACCGTTCATAAGGGAGACAAATGCCGAAGGTAGGTGTGTGTATTCAAAGGTGATGAGAGCTGGGCTCGGTAGCTCAGCCTGTAACCCCGCACCTTGGGAGGCTGAGGTGAGTGGATTGCCTGAGCCTGTGGGTTCAAGACCCGCCCGGGCAACTTGGTGAAACCTCATCTCTACAAAGAATCAAAAAATTAGCCGGGTGTGGTAGCGCACGCCTATAGTTCCAGCTACTTGGAAGGCTGAGGTGGAAGGATCGCTGGAGCCCAGCAGGTCGAGGCTGCGGTGGCAGGGAGCGGCCACTGCACTCTAGTTTGGGTGACAGAGTGAGACTCCAACTCAAAAACAAAAACAAAAAACAAAGGTGATGGGAAGGACATAGAGGATGTCAAAGTGAAAAACATCACTGGATTGATAATTTTATTCTTTTACACCTAAGAGTGAACATGTTTTGGCAAGTATGGTGCAAAAAAATGACTGTGCCCTCTTTAACAAAGCTATGAGCTGGCAAAACGTTTTTTAAATATTGCATTTTGATGATGCAAATGCAAGAAAAACAGAAATTTTGATGAGCTAGAACCTAATCAGAACACTTGTTGGAAAATTGAACAGCCTGTAATCCCAGCACTTTGGGAGGCCAGGGCGAGTGGACTGCCTGAGCCCGCGGGTTCAAGACCCACCCAGGCAACTTGGCGAGACCTCATGTCTACAATAAATCAAAACTTAGCCAGGCATGGTAGCATGTGCCTGTAGTTCTGGCTACTTGGAAGGGTGAGGCGGAAGGATCGCCGGAGCCCAGCAAGTTGAGGCTGCAGTGGCCGGGAGCATGCCACTGCACTCCAGTCTGGGTGAGGGAGTGAGACTCCAACTCTAACTCCAAAAAAAAAAGAAAAAGAAAATTGAAAAGAAAACAACTTTTCCAATATGATTTAGTGTTATTTAATATTGCTTAAGTGTTTCACTGAATTCTACCTCTCATACTGCCTAAAATTATCTCAAGTATGTCCCAATCTTGGGAAACACTTTTTTTTTTCAGTTGTGGTCTCACTTTGTGCCCAGGCTGGAGTGCAATGGCACAATTATGGTTCACTGCAGTCTTGACCTCCTGGACTCAGGCGATCCTCTGGACTCAGGCGATCCTCTGGCCTCAGCCTCCTGAGTAGCTGGGACTGTAGGCAAGTGCTGCCATGCCTGGCTAGGTTTTTAATTTTTTTGTGTGGAAACAAAGTCTCACTACATTGCCCAGGCTGCTCTCAAATCCTGGGCTCAAGCAGTCATCCCACCTTGGCCTCTCAAATACTAGAGGTGTGCCTGGCCAGGAAGTACTCTTATAAATGACTCCTGGAAGAATAAATGATTGGACTTGAAGTTATCATGGCACACTGAACACATGCATCAAATCTTGTTCCTGTCCCCGAACTCTGCTAAATTCTGGTAAAAGGACTTTCAAAATACTTCAGTTCATAACCAGGAGTGGACACAACAGCAACAAGGTTTTTGAAGCGGGAAGGCAGATGCTTGGAATAACTAACTTAGCAGATTCCAGGGGCAGATCCCCAGTTGAAAGTAGGAAAAGCACGCGGCTCCTGGCATCAAGGATGAAGGGACCAGTACTCAAAACATGGAGGCTTGCGGCAACCCTCTTGGGTCCCCTCCCCCTATGGGACCTTTTCTGTCCTCTTAATAAATCCTGCTTAAAAAAAAAAAGGAGGTTTGGGTAAGAGCTCTTTGAAAACCAGCTAGATCCCTACATCTTCTGCTGTGCCGGGTGGTTGCTCCTCTCCTACCACAGCTGGAGGTTTACCTTCTGGAGGGAGTCGAGCCCCTGGCCTGGGAGAGTCCAGACACAGTTATGGGTATTGGACTAGAAGTACAGCGATGTGTTCAGTAGCTCTGTTCTCTTCATGGCCCTCAGGACCCTGAGGCCAGGCCCTCCAATCAGGATACTAGAAGACTCTTCTCTGGGAACTCTAACCAGTCCAGAAAGAAAGACCTAGAATGACTGAGTTGAGGGTTCACCCCCAGAAAGTCCATGCGGGTTTTTTTTTTTTTTAAGAGATAGGGTCTAGCTCTGTCATCCAGATTGGAGTGCAGGGGTGTGATCCTGGCTCACTATAGCTTCGAACTCATGGGCTCAAGCGATTCTTCCATCTCAGCCTCCTTAGTAGCTCGGACTACAGGTGTGTGCCACCATGCCTGGCTAATTAAAAAATATTTTTTGTGAGATGGGGTCTTGCTATGTGCCCAGGCTGATCTTGAACTCATGGGCTCAAGCAATCCTCCCGCCTCAGCCTCCCTTGTGAATTCTCACTCTTAGCTACTCTTGTTCATAGATGCCTTGTCTAAAATTGAAAAGGAAGATATAGGCAATCCCTTCGGGTCCCCTCTCACTGTGGGAGCTTTCTGTCCTCTCAGTAAATCCTGCTTTAAAAAAAAAAAAGAAAGAAAAGGAAGATTAAACTAGTGTAGTGTAAAGTATATTTATGTAAAGTATAAAATTTTGGGCCAAGTGTGGTGGCAAATGCCCGAAGTTCCAGCTACTCAGAAGGCTGTGCTGGGAAGATCACTTGAGCCCAGGGGTTCAAGACCAGCCTGGGCAACATGTCTTGAAAAAAAGTATAAAATTTTGTTTCATTTTGTTTTTGCTGTGATTTATAATGAAGGTCCTCTTATCTGTCACACATCATAAGTGGAGTCGGATATCAGAATTTCACTTCCCAGCTTTGCATTTTCAAGGCTGTTAAATTAGGGCTTCTTTTTATAGCGCAAGTCTGGACTTTGGGCCCTGCGACTGCTGAAGTAGTTGAGCCTCTCTAATGCATTGTTTTTCAAATTTTTGATTGTGATCCACAATGAGAAATTAAAATATTTTACAGTATGTGTATACGTATCTACCTAAAATAGAATCTCAATTCTTTGGACTAAGTTGGCTTTCTTGATAATCTGAACTAATGTGTTTTCTTTCTTTCTTGATCTAGGCAGTTGACAAGTACTTCAAACTTCCTCATGTGTCCAGTAAACCACCCCGGATTTCAGAAAGTCTGGTGGATACTTCCTATAAAACATTAAGATTTGCATTCAGAGCATCACTAAAAACTGCCATCTATCGAATAACTACTACATTTGGTGAACATCTGAAGTAAGTTGACCTGTTTTGATCCATGGTAATCCCTTCTCAGGAGTTGCATGAAAAAACAGGTATGAGAATTTTAAGGCTCACATGTTGAAAGTGGTCTTTTGGGGTCTTGATGGTTTCTACTATGAATTGACAGCTTGGACAGCAGACTAATAAATAAATAAATAAATATATTTTTAAATTTTAGATTTTTTTTTTTTTTGAGTTGGAGTCTCACTCTGTTGCCCAGGCTGGAGTGCAGTGGCATGCCCACAGCCACCACAGCCTTAGGAGATCCAAGTAGCTGGGACAACAGGCACACGCCACCACACCTGGCTAACTTTTTGATTTTTTTTTTTTGTGTGAGTTGAAGTCTCACTCTGTTGCCCAGACTGGAGAACAGTGGCCGTTCCCGGCCACTGCAGCCTCAACCTGCCGGGCTCCGGCGATCCTTACGCCTCAGCCTTCCAAGTAACCACAATTATAGGCGCGCGCTACCATGCCCGGCTAATTTTTGATTTATTGTAGAGCTGAGGTCTCGCCAAGTTGCCCAGGTAGGTCTTGAACCCGCGGGCTCCCAAAGTGTGGGATTACAGACTGAGCCACCGAGCCCGGCCACTCTTTGATTTTTTGTAGAGATGAGATCTCTCCAAGTTGCCCAAGCATGTCTTGAACCCGTGGGCTCAGGCAATCCTCTCACCTCAGCCTTCCAAAGTGCTGGGATTATAGGCGTGAGCCACAGCACGTGGCCAATATTTATATTTTAAAATGTGGGCTGTGATGAGCTTTGGGAATTTCTTTCAAATGGACAAAAAAGAGGACACAAAGTTCTGAAGCAGCAAATGTAAATTAGCAAAAGATCCTTAAGGGAGAAAGAAAAGCTAAAAACTGAGTGCCTTTCCTGAAAAACATATCAGAAATAATTCTGTTGTTGCCTCTTGCTCAGCAAACTAAGACTTGAAGTGAACTCAGATTCCATAAATGAGTCCCTGGTGCTTTGTGAATCATGCTGGAAAAACACCTACAGATCATAGCACCTTCAGAAACAGACAGAAAACCACAAATGCCAAGCCTGTTTATATTGAGTTATATTGACGTTTACTACTTTCCTCCCATGAAATGATCTAGTGAGGCAGGATGAGGGATACTCAGCAACTAAACTGGGTTTATCGTAATTATAAGTGAACTTTAGAAGGCAGGAGAGATTGCCTTGCTACTTCTGTGTGTAATCTGTTGTTTAGGACTTCCTCATACCACCTGCTTTTAGAAGCAGGTAGTAGATTCCTTTTACTTCCTTAATGTTAGGCAGCAGCAGTAGCAAGTATTTGTGGAACATTTTGGTTCTGTGTGAAAATACAAAAGAGCTGTAGGTAATCCTCTGTTATTAAGAGGTTTGTTAACTTATTCAAAAACCGACAAAAAGAATCTATTGAGTGCCTTCTAGACCTGCGCTGTCTAGGATGATAGCCATATATAGCTATTTAAATTAATTAAAATTAAACAAAAGTAAAAATACAGTTTGTCCATCAAACTAACCACATTTCTAGTACTGTAGTTAATAACTACATGTGGTTAGTAGCTACCATATTGATCAACATAAGTAAAAAACTTTCATCATTGCAGAAAGTTTTATTGGATACTGCTATTCTAGACAGTACACCTAGAACTTTATATGTATATTTTTCATTTACTCTTCTCGAAGACCCTCCAAAGTGTAAAGATTATCATAATTGTGCAAATATGAAAACTGAGGAATAGGAAGGTTAAAACTTGCCTAATAGCAGTCTTGTGCCTTTTAGAACATGAACCTGAAATCAGGTCTTTCTTGCTCTTATAAATCTGCCTTCTTTCCATCTGTAACAGTAGATGGTCTCTAATATATAATCTAACATGTAGGATACACTCAGAAAACACCCATTAATAACCTTAGAGAATGAAATTGAGATGATATATATTGATGATTGAGCAAAAGCAAGGAGAAAGGGGGAAATTAGGGATTTATTGGATAAGAAAGGGAGATAGATGAATTATTACGAATGATGGGAGTGAAATTCTGCCCTAGTTTCTTTTCTCTGAGAAGAGCCATATATGTACACTGAAAATGATGAGGTGAGTACAGACTATTTTGTACAAATGTAGGACAGAATGATGTGACAGAAAGACTGTTAAATGTGAAGTTAAAACATCTGGATTGACTGGACATGGTGGATCAAGCCTGTAATCCCAGCACTTTGGGAGGCCGAGGTGAGAGGATTGCCTGAGCCCTCAGGTTCGAGAACAGCCTGGACAACTTGGTGAGACCTCGTCTCTACAATAAATCAACAAATTAGCCAGGCATGGTAGTGCGTGCCTGTAGTTTGAGCTACTTGGAAGGCTGAGGTGAATGGATTACCTGAGCCCAGCAGGTCGAGCCTGGGTGATGGAGTGAGGCTCCAACTCAAACAAAAAAATCTGGATTTATGTCTGTCTGTGATTGTGAGCAAGTTTTGTTTAGTGATTTAAGTAACTTGCCCTGGGTTATGTAGGTAGTGAGTTGAAGAACTGAAATTCAGACCCAAATCTTTCTAACTCTATAGTTCTGTCTACAGTGTATATACTCTTTTGAGTCAGGGTTTTACTCTGTTGCCCAGGCTGGAGTCAGTGGCATGCTCACGGCTACCACAGCCTCGACTTCCTAAGCTCAGACAATCCTTCTGCTTCAGTCTCCTGAGTAGCTGGGACTACAGGTGCACACCACCACACCTGGCTAACTTTTTAATCTTTTTTTGTGGAGATGAGATCTTACTGTGTTGCTCAAGATGGTCTTGAACTCCCAGGCTCAAGCAGTCCATCCGCCTCAGCCTCCCAGTGCACTGGGATTACAGGCGCGAACGACTGCACCTGGCCTATGGTGTCTATTACTCTTAACCAGTAAAGTGTGGAATCTCCTCTGATCTGTGAACCTTTCTGAAAACTGTTTATGCTCCCGTGAAAGAAAATGTTCTCAGACCCACTTTGCTTCATGTGGTGTTAATAGCGATAAAATGGAATAACACATATGTAATACCTATTGTATATGATATATATTATCGTGTCTTATCTAATTAGTCCCTACCCAAAGCTCTTCCTCTGAGAACCAGGTGTAAATGAACTCTCAAGCTTCACAAAGTGACATAGTCCAATCACTCATTAGAGGCATTCGTTCAGCACCCATTTGCTCTTTAAAAAAAAAATTTTATTGTGTATGTTTGAGGTTCATAGCGTGATGTTATGTGATAATACATAAAGATAGTAAAGTGGCTTCTGTAGTGAAGTAAATTAACGTATCTGTCATCTCACATAGTTACTTTTTTGTATGTGGTGTGGTACAAGAGTAGCTAAAATCTATTTCTTTAACAAAAATCCCGAATACAATAGTTCTCATGGAATACATTAGATCTCTAGACTTGCCATCCTACATATCTGCTACATTGATCCTTTGATGTATATCCCTCCTGCCATTTACTCCTAATTTAGGCAAGTTTGATTGACTGGTTTTTCAGCCTATAATATGCAAAAACCTGAGGAGCAGAGATTGCTGTTAGAGTCAAGAGTACTAACAGTGAGTAGTAAAGGATGCTTTACTACTTGCTAGCAGAGAGAAGTTATAGGCAAAGTCACCGGTTTGGTGTTGGAGAGAGTTCCAGAGCCATTAAGTTGGAGGCAACAGCTTCACTGGCACCCAGAGGGCATGTTTGCCCAGTGAAATACAGAGATGTATGTAAGGCATTTTAGCATGATTTGTAGCAAAAATATTAAAATAGGACTGTTTTGGTACTTTAAAAAGGGGTAACCTTCAGTTATCTAGAATTCTATCATTTACTAATGATATGTTACTATTTAGTAGTCTTTCGTTGTATTCAGTTTTTGCTAGTTTCAGTATATATTTGTCTAATTTTGTCAAGGTAACTTATTTTTGTGCTGGTGAGGGTGGAGAGAGAACTCTGTTCCCATCCAAAACATAACGAACGTTCAAAGGGAAAAGTAAATCTAAACCACCAAGCTGTTACCTTTGAAAACCATTAATGGAGTCTATTGTGTCTTAACCAAACATTTTAGTTTAAAGGATTTTATATTAAAGGCAATCCACATACTCCACAACTCAAAGATAATGTTGGAATCTGGTTTAAATAAAATAATAAAATCCAGAAAATCTACTGCAAGGCCTGGACTGCACAGCAGGTCCCATAGCAGAGCAGGTTCAAATCCAAGGCTTCACTTGTCAGTCTTAATTTGTGTTGGTCTCTTAGAAGGTAGAAGCATGCCATTACCAAATGCAAGCTCTCTTCTTCATCAGATTAAAAAGGGTTTTCATCCCGCTTTTTCAGAAGTACTTAATAAGTGAAGATTTATATTCATTTTTAATTGTTTTGAAAAATATTGACTCTGTGCTCTGTGGTTCACTTAATATGCTTAATGTAAAATAAAGCTTATGCTTTGAATTTATGTTTCATTTAGTGCTGTGCAAGCATCTGCAGAACATCAGAAAAGACTTCAACAGTTCTTGGAGTTCAAAGAATAGTTAAGTAATATAAACTGTGTTCATTACACTGCTGATACAACTACAGATGGGACAGTAAATGTTCAGCATTCTTGGATCAGAAGAAAATGGACTAATTAGACGCTTCCTTTGTCGTGGTGGTTGCTTTGAAAACTATACTTTAATGGGAGAAATCATGGAAAGAAATTCTCAGCAGAATAACCGAAAACTGCCTTTTCTGGACCGATTGCTCTTTGTGTGTGTGGTGTAATAAAATCTTTATTCAGTTTTACAAAAGTATCTATGGCAGTGGAAATGTCTCTAGCTCATATAGCTTAGTAATAATAACTAACAATTTTGAGAATTTACTTTGGAAAAAGTGGAGCCAGTTCAGAAGTTAAGGTAGGTTGTCTTGATACAGTCTTCCTAATTCTTTTAAGAGTTTAACTCTCTGTAAACTCAAAATACATAAAACGTTTAAAGACTAGCTTAATTGACTGAAGGATAAAAATGGTAACAGTGGAGAAAGATTCACAGAAAAAATATTGTCGAAAGGACATATTTTGTTAATCTGTTAGGTTGTGTTTTTGTTTCCAGGTACAAATTAAATTTGTATGATTGTCCAAAAAACGGTCTCAATTTACAGATGCTAACTCTATATAAAGGAGTGTGGAAAAACTCCGTTCTTAAGTTACAAGATTAAACATTCACATTTGGTTTTTGAAAAACAGTTGACCAACAGCTATGAATTTATTTTGTATCATATTAGTAAACCCAATAAGTATTCTCTAAGCTAGTTTTGCTGTCTTTTTCTGAAACAAACCATTAAATGATTGTAGAGTTTTATTTTTATGTGAGAGGAAAACATTTTGCAAGCCCCTGTCCCCCCCCCCAAAAAAAACAGGAAATTTTCCCTTTTTTCTCCACTGTTCTTCTTCATTAGATCAAGTGATTCTGTGAGTCTTGTCTGACCTCAGAGAGGGAGCGGCCTCTGCTGTGTTAACTGACTAATTAAAATATGTTAGGAAAATCTTTACAGCCAGAAACAACTTAGTCATCAAATAGTGAGTGAAATCCGAATGTCAGAGGGATTACTGTACTTGCAAGTATGTTGTCTGTCCCAGCAATGAATGAAGTGGTTTTATAGTCTATTAGATCAGCTTCTTGGGAGATGAGGATTGGCAGTCCCAGTGGTAGATATCCGTTGGACTAGTCTCGGACTGAAATGCTCCTTTGTCATTTTTTCCCTATTATCTTTTCCCTCTAGTGTCCCAAAATTATTTTCCTTAACGTCAGCACCATATTATATATGAATCTTTAATGTGGTATCAGATGTGTCTTCTGTTTGTCTGATTCATTGATATCTTTTTTTTTTTTTTGAGTTGGAGTCTCACTCTGTCACCCAGATTGGAGTGCAGTGGCCGCTCCCAGCCACCGCAGCCTTGACCTGCTGGGCTCCGGCGATCCTTCCGCCTCAGCCTTCCAAGTAGACGGAATTACAGGCATGCGCTACCACGCCCGGCTGATTTTTTGATTTATTATAGAGATGAGGTCTCGCTGCCCAGGCGGGTCTCAAACCCGCGGACTCAGGCAATCCACTCACCTCAGGCTCCCAAAGGCACGGGATTACAGGCTGAGCCACGGAGCCCGGCTTCATTGATATCTTTATAATAGTTTAGCTCCCTATTATCTCTTCAACTAGTACATGCCAAATTATAAAATGAGTCCTGCTACTGGTCTTTAAAGTGTCTTTATGGGATGGTTCCCTAATTGTCAAGCATTTGGGATTTCAGCTGTTGCCATTTATGTTTTGTTTTTCTGTGCTTTTTTTGTTTTGTGTCTGAAGTTAAGTTGCTCTCCTTTTGTTTTTTTAGTTGGAGTCTTAGTCCGTCGCCCAGGCTGGAGTGCAGTGACACACTCATGGCCACCCCAGCATCAACCCACCAGGCTCTGGTGATCCTTCTGTCTTAGCCTTCCAAGTAGCCAGAACTACAGGCATGCGCTACCATGCTCAGCTAATTTTTTTTTATTTATTTATTGTGGAGACGAGGTCTTGCCAAGTTGCCTGGACTGGTTTCGAACCCGCGGGCTCAGGCAGTCGACTCGCCTTGGCCTCTCAAGGTGTTGGGATTACAGGCTGAGCCACCAAGCCCAGCCTGCTCTCCTTTTTTGAATGTGAAAGTTGAATGTCAAATATAGTAGTTTCTTACAGATGACCAGGTAGAAAATTATGGCTAGGTTGACTGAGAACTGTTATGTTCATGTAGTACAGCCATTAAGCTTTGTATATTTCATTCTCTGTGCTGCCCCAACTGAGGCATTTTGGGAGACAGGCACTCTCTTAATCTTCTGCTTCCATTAAAGAATTGTGATATTTAATCCATTGGATTCCTAAGAATGAAGGTGAGACAATTCCTTTAAACTTTGACTTATGTAAAGTGTCTGGCTGGGTTTAGAATCTTCCCATTTCTCATATACCTACTTTGGGCAAAGGTCTATTTGAGGAGCAGTGTGAATGTTCATCCCTGTTTTCTCTCAAGAGGATGTGTTGTGTGTGAAATACGGGCCACATGTGTCTGCCTCTCGGAGGTCTGGGAGCTGTCTCCCCAGATCTGTATTCAGTAGGTAAGGGCTGGGGTCTGTTCCTTTTCCCCATTGTGTGTTGATAATCTACAGCATCTGTTGGGGGTAGCATGTTATTAAAGGGAGCTCCTTCTCCTGAGTGCAAGGAGGAGGACCTTTGGGAGCCAAGAGGAGAGAAGTTTCTCCTTTGATGAAGGCACATTCAGCCTATGAACCCTTGATGCTTAACATTAGCCTGAAAATCAGTGTTCTTTAAAAGTCTTTCTCGGCCGTCAGCAGAAAACATGATCGTATCAGCTCTTAAAATGTTTGCTTGACACTTATAGAAGATACAAATCCATAAAACTTCTTTCCCAGAGGACTGGGAAACTGTCCTAGAAATTAACCTTGTATAGTTGAGTGGACTTGGATACGCAGCAGTTTGTTACTTTGCTGGGTTTGTTCCTTGGTAATTGTTTTGTATGTCTTCCTGTAAATATGATGCTCTGTTTATATCCTTTTGTATATTATTGATATTGAATCCAAAATAAATGGACGGTTTTAAAAAATGAGACTACTAGTTAAAATATGTGTCAGTTATTTCTAGTGTGTGTGTGTTCCTTAACCATTTCACTTTCATTCCAGAGTTGTTGCTTATAAAACCTGAAAAGGTTTGACTTCTTGAGGAATCAGCTTTTGCCCCTAACCTTGACTAATTTGGTCAGTTGATGTGAATTCTAAGGATCCTGAGTTCTAGGTCTTTCTTTGTATCCTTGGCTGCCTTTCTTCCATGACTAAACAAAGGGTACAGGTGCTGAAAGCCATCTCTTAGCAGAGGTTTCTTTTCTTGCCAAAATATTGTTTCCAAATAGATCATATTCCGCCAGGCTAACAGATATATCTGTCAGCTTTCCTTAACTTAGTCTGAAGCTCACCTAGTTGAGGTTCTAAGGTCCTCAAACTCCCCCTCTTGCTCTCCTAACCCATAATCATCTTTCTTTAAAGCCAATTAGCTTAAAACAAAAATGGCTGTCTTTCACCCATTAACAAGGCAGCCATTCTTAGCAAGCTTCTGATCATTTTAAAAGAAGTGAAATCCATATTGCTTTGAGAGGCAAGGAAAGGGATGAACAGGCATAGGCCCCTGTCGTCCTGTCATGCACCCAAGCAGCCTTGCCAGTCGTGGTCGCGATGTACAAATTGATGTGAGCTCGCTGATAATTCAGAAACATTCCCTGGAGTCACCTTCTCTAAGGGTGATGACTGTCATGGCGTTAGCAGTTAGAAATAAACCACTAGCAACACAGTCCGTGCCCTCGAGGAGTCTGTAATCCGATGCAGTGGCATTCAACACTTGGTGTGCATCAGAATCACTTAGTACAGATAGACTTAGTGCGGAATCACTAAGTACAGAGAGTACTTAGCAGATGTGTGGCGTCTAGGGGCTTCATGTCAGTGGGGATTCTGCTTTCAGAGGTCAGGACTGCTTGCTTCTCAGGAGATGCCGTTTTTAACCATGTCTAAGCTAAGGTGGTCTGAAGGTGAGAAGGTTTTACTCGAGTTTTCAAACTTTGGCATGCAAAGGAATCACTTGGAAAGCTTATGATAACAGATTGCTGGCCCTACCTCCAGAGTTTCTGGTTCAGTAACTCTGGGATGGGACCCAGCATTTTTTTTTTTTTTTTTGAGTTGGAATCTTGCTCAGTCACCCAGACTGGAGTGGGGTGTCATGCTCACAGCCACCGCAGCCTCGACCAACTGGGCTCAGCCTTCCAAGTAGCTGGAACTACGGGCATGCGCTACCATGCCCGGCTATTTTTTTTTTTTTAATTGTAGAGATGAAGTCTCACCAAGTTACCCAGGCTAGTCTTGAACCCCTGGGCTCAGGCAATCCTCTTGCTTCTGCCTCCCAAAGTGCTGGGATTATAGGCTTGAGTCACTGCACCTGGCCAGACCCAGCATTCCTAACACATGTCCAGGCAGTGCTAATGCTGCAGGTCAGGAGACCATACTTTGAGAACCACTGTTCTAGTGGATTGCTTGTGTGGTTTCTTCTCAAATGAATGCAGTATGTAAACTATCATTGTTATAGAGTTCTTCCATCTGATTCGTTTATTGGAAAGCTCAAAGGACACAGATCTATAGGAATACTGACAAATATTCAGGTGTTGATATACTTATCTTAAAATTGCAGCAGGTAGACTGGGCCTTGGAGTTTGAGGCCAGCCTGGTCAACATAGCAAGACCTTGTTGCCCGAACTGGTCTCGAACCTGCCAACTCAGGCAGTCTACTTACCTTGGCCTCCCAAAATGCTGGAATTACAGGCTGAGCCACTGAGCCCAGCCTTTTTTTTTTTTTTTTCTTCTTTTGAGTTGGAGTCTTACTCTATCACCCAGGAGTGCAGTGGCACACTCATGGCCACCACAACCTTGACCTCCTGGGCTCAGGTGCTCCTTCTACCTCAGCCTTTCAAGTAGCCAGAACTACAGATGTGCACCACCAGACCCAGCTAATTTTTTAATGTAGAGACAAGATCTCACCATGTTGCTCAGGCTGGTCTCACCTCAGCCTCCCAAAGTGCTGGGATTACAGGTGTGAGCCACTGCACCCAGCTTACAAACAAGTTTTAAAATACAATGTCTACACACAATTAAAAATAACCAGGCACAGGAAGAGATAACACAACTTGAATGAGAACCAACAAAAACAACAGACAATAGATAGATCTGTG